TTTGGTTTTTCTCCGGTACCGGGAACCGAACTCACGACCTTGCACTTGCCAGGCAGGCGCTTTTGCCGCTGAGCTAAATCCCCAGCCCCTACCCACTGAGTCTTAAGCAGGAATATTTCTATGCTCTCCTACAGCTTGACCGTGTCTTCTCAGGAGATGGGACCACGTTATCCCAGAACTTGAAACTTAGGTGGTTCCAGAGCAACAACTGTCAGAATAATGTTAAGGAGAAAAAGAAAAAAATCCTCAGAACTGAGAGGTCATGAAAATACTATGCATCAAACTTTTTATGATATAGCAAATAGATAATGGGTTTATAGCCCTCGTTAATACATTCTGAATGTGCCAAGAGCCTTGAATTTTAAAGCACTCAGAACACAGGAAACCAAAATAAGAGTGCAAAAAATAAAAGGAACAACGTGCTCGCTTTGGCAGCACATGTACTAAAATCAAAGGAACAAACAAAAGCAGAGACAACATGGAAAACAGTTAACAAGTTTAAAGCTGGTTCTTTGAAGCTATTAATTTTTATATCCTCAAGACTGAAGAAATAAAAAACTAAGGCTAAACATTAGGAACAAGTAGCGTTCATTAGTGTAGAGTCACTGGAGAAGAAAGGAATGTGAAAAGAACACCACAATAATCCATGTGTTAGTAAACTGAAAATTTGAAACAACTTAAAGGAAAATACAAATAACTAATCTGAGGAAATATGGGAAAATGCTTCTCTTAATAAACGCAGATATATACACTTGAAATTGCACACCCTTTCTGGTGAAAGGAAAAAAAACTCAATACAGTATGAAAGTTCTTTAGTCTGATAAAAGATGTCTACCAGAAATTTCTTACAGGCATCACGTTAATAACATTTTGCTGAGGTGCCCATGGAAGTCAGGAACAGGCCAGGTGGGAACCACTCTTCCTCACTGCTTGCTTGGTGGTCTTGCTGGAGGTCCTACCCAACCTTTGAAGCCTTATAAACGAGGTGGTTTTCAAGCTTGCTCTCTCATCAGTAAAATGGGGATAATAGTAGCTGTATCACTGGGTCCTTGAAAGACTTCACTGAGTGAAGTAAAGTGCTTGGCAAGTACCTTGCAGATAATGATCACCCTGTCAGTGTTGACTGTCCCGATACTGTATCTTTCTATGTCTGTAACACATCCTTGTCACCCTCTTCGTAAGGTCATTAAATGGAATACTTAGGACAAAGTATTTTGCAAGTTATAAGAACATATTACTTATTTTATATAGAGAAACATACGTTTAGATTAAGAATATACAACTTTGTGACCCAGAAATACATTGCAAAAAGCCATCCTCTCCAGTGACTCTACACTAATGAGCTCTACTTGAGATAAGACTCGGTAAACATAGTGACATTTACTCTAATTTTTAAAGAGTCAAGCTAACCTTCATTGTGGTGAAGAAACCAATAAACCCCAGGTTTTTTGTTGAGTCTCAAGGGCTTGAAAATCCACCTTCAGGAACTGTCATTGATAGGGTGTTAACCAGGAAGGAATGGGAAACCACTTTTATTTTTATATCTGCATCTGTAATCTTTTTTTATTTTAAAAATTAAAAACTGACAAAACAACAATGAAGACAAAATCAAAACAACACAAAAACAACAAAAACGATACATGACCTCAAGACAAAATGATAGGAATTTACAATGGTTGCGATATTACATACTGTTATCTGCAATGAAATTGCTCAGTCCACGAGATGTAAGAATGTAAGATTGATCAAACAGTCAAAGACAGTAACAAAAAATAATAAATTAAAAAAAATTTTAAAAGTAAAAAAAAAAATAATTAAAAAACAACATTGGAAATGATGCAGAGCTGTACCATACAGGATAGTAGGAGTTCAGCAATAGTCCCTATACTGCATATTGTTGTTTCTAGATCAGTCGTTCTGATTACCAGATTTCAAGTGTGCAAAATTGGTCAAAAAAAGAGAAAATTTTAAGCACTGGCGGTTCCTCTCAGTAAACTACAGACATCAGCAATACCCCTATTCCAGCTATCCTTACATATACAAATAGATTTGGTTATTCATTTAAAAAAACCAACATATAAAAAACAAATATATAAAACAGCATAGAGAGCAATAAGAATGATACAGAATTTCAAAACATGGTGATAGGATATTAACAATGGTTGTTATACTACACAATGTCATCTTCAGAATGGTTGCACATATAACCAAATATAGGCATGCAAGATTGATCAAACAATTGCATGTTAACAATTCCTTTCAATAAACCCACAGATATTAGTAGTACAATTATCCTAGCTATCCTGTGTATATATATACACACATATTTTTCCCTCTTCCTTCTTTCTTTTTCTTCTCCCCTCCTTCATCCCGGTTGCTCCTTCCTATTTGAGCAGTGTCTTTTCCCTTTCACAATACGAATTGTACCTTTCAGATGAACTTTCTTGATTTACTTCCAAGTCACTTAATCTCAATTATGTCACCTTAAAAAGCATTTTCTGATTCTTGACAGTTACTCTGATCTTTTTGAGAGGGACTCTTGGACTTGACACTGTTGGGATTCTTGGCAAAGGACTCTTCATTTAGATTTAGAAATTGGCCAGGCATGGTGGCACATGCCTGTAATCCCAGCACTCAGGAGGCTGAGGCAGGAGGATCATTGCAAGTTTGAGACCAGCCTCGGCTACAAAGTGAGCTCAAGGCCAGCCTGCACTGCATAGCAAGACCCTGTCTCAAAAAGACAAAAAAAAAATTTAGAAATTGTGTTTGATCTTGTGGTTAAGTTTCTTCATCACATTTGCTTCTGTGATCAAATAAAGGTTAATTTTAGTATGATCCCCAAACTAATTATGAATATGGAAGTAGCAAGTTAACAGATTGGAAATAATATGGAATATGGAAATCAATACTTACTAGAAAGTTATAGTACATGTGGCATACTTTGTAAGATAAAAGCTGCACTGTATCTGGGTCCAAGCAAACTGTCATAGATAACATTATACTGAGTAGGAAATAATATGGAATATGGAAATCAAATAGTATGGAGTATGCCCTATTAAAATGTTTGTTTAAGTCAGGTGTGGTGGTGCATGCCTGTAATCCTAGTCCTGTGGGAAGCTGAGACAGGAGGATTGCAAGTTTGAACCCAACCCAGGCAACTTAATGATTTAGTAAGACCCTGTCTCAAAATTTTTTATAAGGGCTGGAGATACAGCTCAGTACAAAGCCTCTGAGTTCAATCCCAGCCCTATAAAAAATGTTTCAGAGCCTAGGGCAGTTTTGTATTTTCAAAAATGTTTGCTACTTTTAAAGGCAGCAACATAAAGTTTTTCTTATGACATTTATCCTCTTAGAACCTGAACAAATGATGTGTTACCAAAGTAATACTAATATTGAGTAATTTACACAGTACCGAATTTATTGTACTGTTATACATGGACATAATATAATTCAGAACAGTGATTTAGAAATTTTTTTTTCTTATGAGGAAGCAATCTACCATGGGTAACAATTGGCAGACAAAATGACAAAGGGATTAGTTACATGAACTTTTAGATAATGAAATCGTTGCAGACATTCTACATTAAAATACGTATAAAGACCAAGAAGATAAAAAATGGAAGGAATGCCATTAGAAAGGTAATTGAGTGCTTTGGGAGGCTGGAGGATTGCAAGTTTGAGCCTCACTTGTGCAATTTAGTAACAGACTTTGTCCGAAAAATAAAAAGAAAAAGAGCTGGGACATAACTTTATGTAAAAGTCCTGGGTTCCTCCTCAACCACCACAAATAAAAACAAAAAGCCCTAAGAAATTCTGAATAAAAGTATCAATAATATTTGAGTATCTAATAGTGAAACATAGTGAAAATGAAAAAAACCCAGAGGAATGCTTAAATCACAGATTAGACAATCGAAGGAAAATTGTTAACTGGAAAATACATTAAAAATTCCCACAATGCAGTGGAGAACCACGAAGATAGGTGAGATAGGACAAAAAGAAAAAGATAAGGTAAAATGCAATTTGCTATATATCAATAGAAATTTTTGTAGGAAATGATACAATATTGTGTGAGAAGGGGGAGTAATATTCAGAGAGTGAAATTCTGAACTCAGATTAAGGAATCATAGGATTTAAACAGGGTCAATAAATATAAGCCTAACTTCTGGAACATTATAATGAAACTTCAAAGAAGCAGGCACAAGATATTTTAAAAGTTGCCAGAGGAATAATATATTTTTAAGCAATATAATATTACTCAACAGTAGGAACCATATCAGTGAAACAGTATCTTTAAGTAGCCAAACAGTAGTTATGAAACTAGAATTTGACACCTAGCTAAGCTGTCATCAAGGGTACCTGTGAAATACCAACACGCTCAGATAACCACATATTGTATATACACTAATCCATCAGACTTGCTGAAAACACCACAGCCTAAAGGTTGTATTTTAGGAAGAAGGAAACTGAACTGTCTTAGCTGTCCTTCACAGATTTGCTTTATCAGATCATTTGTTTGCCAGTTAAACAAACATCTAAATTTAAAGAAAACTTTGTCTATGGAACAGATTTCTGTAACTTAATATGCTAAATGTTTTTGCTGCCAATACTAGAGATTACCATATTCGTTTTCTTCTAAAATAAACTGATACTCATCTGTTCTCTGATTTCAGGTATGACTTTTATATTGTGAGTCAGCCCAGGAAGCATGGTGCGGTTACTCCCACTCGTTATAATGTTATCTGTGCCACGGTTTGCTTGGACCCAGGTACCGTGCAGCATTTAACTTACAGACTGTGCCACGTATACTGTAACTTCCCAGTAAGTATGGTTTCATTGATTTGTTTTCTTCTGATCTATAAAAGGTATTGCTCAAAACTGAGCAAAATTTGAACCTTTGAATTGATAGCTATGAAAATTTAAACTTAGAGAAAGTAGATATAAAGGCAAATATAAGGTGATGTAAAGTTAAATAATAAACTTCTATTTTTCTTCTTTTTTTTTTTTTTTTCTGGTACCGGGAACCGAACTCACGACGTTGCGCTTGCCAGGCAGGCGCTTTGCCGCTGAGCTAAATCCCCAGCCCCTATTTTTCTTTTTATAAAGGGGCATCATTCGAGTTCCTGCTCCCTGCCATTATGCCCATAAACTGGCTTACTTCGTGGGGCAAAATGATCAACAGGAGCCACATAACTCGCAATCAAACAGTCTCTATTACCTCTAAGCTACAGAGAAAGACCTGACATGATGCAGAAACCACAAGTGGTACATTTTAAATTTTTTCCTTTTGAAGCTGGCCATCTGAAATTTTTCCTAGATTTGCAGCTAGACTAATAATTTTTGATTGGAAGTAGAGGGACATTGAATAGTATCAAAAAGATGGCAAAGCAGAGGAGAAAATCGTGCAGGAAATCCCCACGTGGTACTTGTGACTGCTTTCCATGTCACAGATTCCACGTGAGGCAATTGAGTGTGACGGAGAAGTTGTATTTGTTCAGGTTTTTGGGTCAATGTTGAGAAAAACCACAGTGGCGTCACTCCAGCTGGATTCAGTGATGCGGTCTACTTTCATGTTGACTATATGAGGTTGACTTTCCAAAGGGTGAGGATAAGGAGAGAACTGACAGTAAGGATTTTGTCTGCCAATTTACTTTTTTTTTTTTCTTTTGAGACAGGGTCTTGCTATGCAGTTCAGGCTGAACTTGAGCTCACTTAGTAGCCCGGGCTGGCCTCAAACTCACAAAGATCCTCCTGCTTCAGCCTCCTGAGTGCTGGGATTATAGGCATGCAACACCATGCCTGGGGTCATTTTACTTTTCAAATGTTAGAAAGATTTTATAACTAAATGTGTGAGAACACTTTGCATTACAAGCATGGCCACTCCGATCTATCGATCATTGAAAAGCTTAGTCAACCTAGGGTTACCCTGCAATTTAAAAACTGGTAGTTTAGAAACATGGAAGCATTTTCCCTCTTCAGACAGGAAATTAAGAACTCTTTTAGCCTCTCTGCTTCTGTTTCAAGTGTGATGTTATAAAGTGCAACATAATCAGATGAATCTTAGGCAGGTTTTTTTTTTTTTTTGGGACAGTGTCTTGTCCCAAAAGGCTGTCCTTGAATCAGTTGAACTCACAGCATCCTCCTGCCTCAGTCTCCAAGTTCTGGAATTGCAGGCATGTGCCACCACGCCCAGCCCTTAGGCAGGGTTTTTTAGGTGAAGCCATCTGCTTTTCCGCAAAACAGATATGTTTTCCTCTCCATTTAAAACTATCTTTAAATAGACTCCAAACAGAGTATGAAAACTTCATATTCATATACTCCAAGGTAGATTGGTGTTTTTTGGGAGGGGAGGGACTAGCTTCAAAGATACTAGAAAGGGTATATTTGCTTTGATTATATGTTAATGAATTTATATTTACAACTTGAACTTGTCTTATAAGAAATAAAATTAAATTATTTAAGAAAATAAAGTATCTAAAATGTACCAATAAAATCTGATTTAAAAAAAAAGAAAATATAATCCAGGCAAAACTACTGAACAGCACCACCAACAGCAATAGATGTAATAGAGGAGGTGGCCCATGAGTAAAGATGCGCCATGGGAGGTTAGAGTTTGATCTATGGTATTACTTTCTAAAAATCCGAGCAAATAGTTTGGAAGGAAAAAATGGAAAGTTGTTATGTAGTAAATGTTTTCTCTAAGTACAGCATGTACAAATATCACTTATTACTAGTGCTGTTAAATGATGTAATTCAATAAAATACTCATGTTAAAATCATAGACTTGAGTCTTACTATATATGTAATGTGATTTTCTTAGCTTTCTTTTTGTGTTTGTAGGTGATAGGATTGAATCCCGGACCCTTACCCTGAGCCACATACCCCACCTCCCCCGACTCCTTTTTTAATGATCAGGTCTTGAGTCACTGCGTTGTCCAGTCTGAGCTCAGGTGTATGGTGCTGCTGCCTCACTCTCCCAGTGTTGGGATTACAGGTGTGTGCCACAGTGCCTACTCTTTCTTAGCCTTCCTAATCTACTGATTAGAGAAAACTGTTACTTTTCTAAGAAAAAGGGAAATATTGCTCACACCAGGGAACTATCTCATTAACCTATTAGTGTTTTATAAATCAGGTGAAGGAAGTTTGAGTATTTAGTGTTTCCAAGAAATCTTACTGATGTACCATAGTGCCTTACTTTCCCATGATGGAGTAAGGGTTGGGGATGTGAAGAGTGTTCACTACCTGGTCACCTCCCTTCCCACTGCTCTTCGACAGGTGTCCCACACATCCACATGTGCTGCCAGTGTCCTCGCCCTTGACACCTCTTTGCCCCATGAGTCCACCTACCAAGTGAGCCTATAACTGACTTAGTTGTTGTCGTTTATTCTGGCTTATAGATTGGAGGTTTCAGGCCACAGCTTTTGGGTCTGTGGTGAGGCAGCACTTCATGGTTGGAGAGCATGACGGGAAGCCTGTTCACCTTAAGGCCAGGAATGAAAAAGAAGACACTGGTGTTTCGCAGTCCCCTTTGAAGGCGCGCTCCCAGTAGCCTCCCACTAGGTGTCACCCCTAAATGTGTTCACCATCTTCCAGTGGTGCCAAGCTGAAGACCAGTCCTCATAACACATGGGATTTGGGGGAATATTCCAAATGCAAAATATAACATTCTGCAGCTTTATTCTTTTTCAGGAATGGCTGTTTGGGATTTCTTGTTGTTCTTGTTTCTTGTATGATTTTCAGAGTAGCTTTTTGTTTTTTTGAGACAAGATCTCACTATGTAGCCCAGGGTGGCTGCAAACTTACAGCAGTCCTCTTGCCTTAGCTCCCAAGTGCTGGGACTATGAGCGTGTGCCACCACACCTGGAACAGAGTTGGTTTTTTTAATTGCAAAAACAGTGCTGTGATTTTTTTGTGTGTGTGATGGTAGGATTTCTTTTTTTTTTTTTTTTTTTTTTTTATCTTTTTGAGACAGGGTCTCTCTATGCAGTTCAGGCTGGCCTTGAGCTCACTTTGTAGCCCAGGCTGGTCTCAAACTCGCAACCATCCTCCTGTCTCAGCCTCCTGAGTGCTGGGATTACAGGCGTGCACCACCACACCGGGCCTAGAATTTCATTCTTAATTAAGGCTGAATACTAACATTAAAGAATATATGTATCTCCTACTCATAACTCAAAAACAAAGCAAAACAAAACAACCCCCCAAACAAAAAGCCCAGTACCACCCCTAAACAAAGCAGTTTAAAAATGGGCAAAGGACTTGCTTAAACAGATATTTCTCCAAAGACGTATCAATGGCTACCATGTATATTAAAAGGTACTAAATTTCACTAATCAGGAATATGCAGATCACAACCATCATGCAGTATCTCTCATTTGTTAGAATGGCTATCCTCAGTAGAGAAAACATAGCAAGTGCAGGCAAGGGTGTGGAGAGAGGGAACCCTTGCGTACTGTTAGTGCATATGTAAACTGCTACAACCATTAGGGGAGACACTGTGGAATAGTTCTTCAAAAAATTAAAACAAAATTATCGTATGAAATCCCACTCCCTGGTGTATATCAAGAGTACCCGAAATCAGTAAGCCAAAGAGATAATCTGCAGACTGATGTTCACTGCAGCATTATTCACAGTAGCCAAGATCTGACAACCTAATAACCACCACAGATGAATGGAATAAAGAAGATGAAATGTTTTCAGCCTTCATAAAGGAAAAAAATTCATATTTGCAACAGCATGAGTGAACCTACAGGACATTTATGAAGGATCTAAAGTAGTCAAATATATAGAATTAATAGAGCAAAATGGTGGTTGCCCCGTGCTGGCAACTCCCCAAAGAGTATAAAGTTTCAGTTAAGTAAGATGAATATTATTGTACTAGAGCTCAGCTACACAACAGTATAGCTATATCTTGCAGTATTGAGTTGTATACTCACAATTTTTGAGAGGGTAGACCTCGTGCTAAATGTTTTTATTAAAAATGGTATCACAGACTTACATTATGTCCAAACTCACTATGTATACAGTAAATGTGTGCAATTTTTTGTATGTCTGTTATACCTTGGTAAAGCTTAAAAATTTAAATAGGAAGAAATTCTTATTCATGAATTTGAATTTTTTTTGTTTATATGCCATGCTATTCTAATCAATTTACAGGTTCAACAAATACTTTTTATTTTTTATTGTATTTAATTTTTTTTTAATTTTAGAGAGAAAAAACAGTAACAAAATAACAACAACAAAGACAAACAAAACAACACAAAAACAAGAATGATACAGGATTTCAAAACAAGATGATAGGAATTAACAATGGTTGTTATAGTACATATTATTATCTTCAGTGAGGCTACTCAGATTACCAGATGTAAGAATTCTTATAAAAAAAATCAAACTGCCTTTATTGCAAATATTGATGAGATGACCTTAAAATTCATGAGGAAATGCATAGGACCAAATATAAAAAAATTATTGAAAAATAACAAGGTTGGAAGACTTATACTTTACAATTTAAAAGCTTAATATAAAGCTACAATGGACAAGACCACATGGTATGGACATGAGAATAGATATACAGATCAATAGAGCAGATTGAGAATCTGGAAATAAATTCTCATCTTGACAGTTGATTTACAAAAGGGTGGCAAAAAGGGGCTGGGGATTTAGCTCAGTGGCACAGCGCCTGCCTGGCAAGTGCAAGGTCATGAGTTCGATTCCTGGTACCAGAAAAAAAGCAACAAAAGAAAAACAAACAAACAAACAAAAGGGTGGCAAAACCATTTAGTGGGAAAGAATAGCCTTTTAAGAAATGGTGTCTGTTTTTTCCTTTTTGTTATATGACTGGATTCCTACATACCAAGAATGAAATGGGGCCTATAACTCATACCAGATACAAAAGTTAATTAAAAATGGATCCAAGCTGGTCAGGATAGCACACACCTATGATCCCAACACTCTGGGAAGCTGAGGCAAGAGGATCACAAGTTCAAGCCTAGTTAAATGACTTAGTGAGACCCTGTCTCAAAATAAAAATAAAAGAGCTGGTGAGGCAGCTCAGCGCAGTGGTCTTGGATTCCATCCTGAGTACCACTAAATTAATAATTAGCCAATAAAATATGAATTAAAAAAATAAAAAGGGGCTGGGGATGTAGCCCAGTGCAGAGGCCCTGGGTTCAAACCTCTGTACTAGGAGGTGGCGGGGGTGGGGTGGATTAAAGATGTAAATGGTATGAGCCCGACTGTCAAAATGTTTGAAGTAAAATAAGAAGGGTAAATCTTTGTGACCTTGGATTTGGCAGTGAATTCTTAGGCATGACATCAAAGCCACAGGCTGCACACACACAAAAGTAGATAAAATTTCATGGAAAACTTTCGTGCTTCAGAAAATGCCCTAAATAAATGCCTAAGTACAACTCAGAAAACGGAAGAAAATATTTCCAGGCATATAGCTAATAGTCTATTCTTGAATATATAAAAAAATGCCAACAAAAGTAAGATGTCCAACATTTTATTGACTTTTTTTGGAGACAGGATCTGGTTGTGTAGTGCAGGCTGGCCTTGAACTTGCTCATGTAGTCTAGGCTGGTCTCAAACTCATGGTGATCCTCCTGCCTCAGCCTCCTGGAGTGCTGGGATTATAGGTATGCACCACCATGCCCAGCTGCTGTCCAACATTTTATTTTATTTTTTTTATTTTTTTTTTTTTTGGTTTTTTTTTGGTTTTTCTCCGGTACCGGGAACCGAACTCACGACCTTGCGCTTGCGAGGCAGGCGCTTTTGCCGCTGAGCTAAATCCCCAGCCCCTTGTCCAACATTTTAAATGAAAAAATATTTACAAAGTTACTGCTCCAATGAAGATACACTGTCAGTGAGCATGTAAAATCTTGTTCAGAATCACATTAGTCATCAAGGACTGGAATTATAGCCACACTGAGACCACACACACTGGGATGGGTATAAGGAAAAAGAAAGAAACGAACAATTGTTGACAATGGTGGAGAGAAATGGGAACTTTCCTATATTCCTGGTGCAAATAAAATGAAGAAAACTGGAAATTCCTAAAGAGGCTTGCTCCCCCTTGGGAGAAGAGTAAGAACTGGGACTGAGCAGCCTTGGACAGTACCTGCAGGAGCAGAGCCCACATCATAGCACGCCACCCCACCCTGTAACAAGCAACCTGAGAGGATGGAGACTTGCTAGAGGAAGAAGAAGACCACAAGAGGCGGTGCAAGGACCAGGAGGAGCCAACTATACACGAGACTGAGAGAAGCCCTTTGTCTCTATGGGTGGCATGGCAACTGGGAGAGAGACACAGAGAAAAACAGGGTAAGGAGTGGGTGGACAGGTAAGGGAGAAACTACTGGCTGAAGACTCTTGACCCCAGCCCCCCACATCTGGAGGCCAAGATCAGCCCCACATCCAGCACAAACCCTACTGTAGACTTGGCAGGCTTACCCAGTAGTTTTGGGCTTTTGGTGGACACCAGAGGAATTTTATTTTTTATTCTATTTTACTTTTCTTCTTTCTTTGTTGTTTGTTTTGTTTTCCTTTCTTTTTTCTTTCTTTTTTTTGGTCTCTTACCTATATTTTTCTTCCAGTTGATTCATCTTCTTTCTTCCTTTCCTCAATTATCTCTCCTGATTTAATCATATTTTCATTTCTTAGTTCCTTTTCTCTCTTTGCTGAGACAAAATACCTAACACCCAAAGTTAAAGGAGGAAAGGTTTATTTAGCTCACAGTTTGTGGAGGTTTCAGTCCATAATCATCTGGCTCCAAGGTATGGTGGCATGGCAAAGGGGTAATAGTCCATGGTGGCAGAAGACAGTAAAAGCAACAAGGGACAAAAGGGAGGAGCAAGCCTCTTTCCCTCTTAAATTATATGCAGGCTACCTGCACTAGGGCCTGTGTTGCAATCACATCCCAATCCCAGCACTAGACAGTGAGCCAGTCACAAACTCTAGATTCAGCTGCCTATGAAAGGCCTGCCTCCCATGACTGCATGA